ATAATCAAAGTGAAGAAACTTGCATTTTTCCTCAGGTTTGTGAATTTTTATCAAACTTTTTTTTTTTGGCTCAACACCTTTCATGCCTGATTCCACCACGCTGCCTCACATATTTTTATTTTAAGTTTTCTCCCTTCGTGGCACACATTTACAAATGCGAATTTAACATGGAGAAGAACTACGCAAACGTTTTCTCTCAGGATGAGTTAAAACAACCAGCAAAATGTGAAATCGTATAGATTTAACGCCCCTATCAACATTGTTAAATTATTCAAGATGCGGGACCTCCGACTTAAACGTCATTCTCCGAAAAGACCGAACCAAATAGGAAATCCGTGCAAAGTGCCTTTCTCAAGAATACAACCTCGGACCGAGCGGAGGATCGAACCCCTGAACTCACGATTGCAAATCCTGTAGCCTAACAGGAAGGAAGTGAATGTAAAGGGTGACTGTTGAATGTGAAGAAAACAAAATGCATGGTTATAATGATATTATGATTTTTAAAAGCAGTAAATCCTATTTGTAATCTCACAAGAAAAGATGAATTCATCAAAAATGTTCAACAGTTCACAAATGTAGAATACGCAATTCAATTTAAAGTCAAATCTTCCAGAAAAATAAAACTAAGAATTGCAATTTTAAGTTATTTTCAAGAAAATTAGCCCAATCCGTTAAAAAATAGAAACATCTCAATGACTACTAAATAGTAACTTTAAAATGCTATACATGGTCAATCGTTCAATGCAGCTGTAAAGTCAAATCACGATACTCACTAAAGACAGTGAAAAATAAAATACAAGCAACAGAAATGTGGATACTTAGGAGGCTGCTGAGCTGAGAACTTCTTGGAAGGAAAATAATTCAAAGGAAATCGAACTTGAAGAAGCCCACGTGGGCCGCAAGCTGAATAAAAAAAAAAACCAAACAGGAAAAGACAACTTCAGTTTTGGGGAACTAGAACAGACATAAAAGCCTCGAACGTCTTGCTCTCATTGACAATATTGCAGGCAAACGAAGCAGGGGTAAACCCTGAGCAACCAGTTTGGAGAGTCTAAACAGATTGTTAACGAGGAAGAATCAGTATAGTGTAACATTATTTTGAGCATTCGAGCAACTAAAGAAATGGAGAATCATGATCAACTATGTCTGTCTCAGATTTGACACTTGATGATGAGCCTAACAAATAATCTGCCACGCCATCACCAGGCGTTGCAAAAACAGCAACAACAGTTACGTTGTTACGGCATGTATTTTATCTCTTGAAAACCTTTGAAATGTAAGACCAAAACGTTCCATGTTTCTCCTCTGTCTTCAGCCTGTGCGACTGACGAGCTAGACATGGCGTTCGTCCTTGACGCATCAGGCAGTATTTCTTCTTCTGAATATAAAAAATCCAAGAATTTTACAGCAGAAGTTATTGGATATTTCAACGTGGGATATGATTCCGTTCGCGTTGCCTTGACTTCTTACAGCAGTAGTGTATCGGTATGTATCGAATTACTAAACACATTGGCCTACAATTTAAAAATGTATAGCTTGTCTCCTACAGTATTATGACACAGTAAAATCAGGCGATGCTCAGTTTTTGGGCTTATGGATTGATTTATCTTGCTTTGGATTTTTAAAAATACCCTTTTATCATGAGTAAAGGTGAAGATATTTGAAATTTAAGACTGACAAACTGGCCACCGAAATTCGGTGACTTTCAAAGCTAAAGAATCCTTGAGAACTGCCAATTAATATTGTTTGTGTCTTCTGCCAAGATTTTTTAATAAATTCCACACAGAAATGTGTTCTTAAATGTACATAAAAGCCGTTTGCCCCTTTAGAATTTGAATATGCTAAACATTAACAACTCCCGTATACAAAAAAAAACATCCCCGCCCGCTTCCATAAACAAACAAACTTCACCAACTAAAAAAAAAGAGTAAACAACCCCACAACAACGACAAACGAACCATGCCAACACTACTATCCCTCCAACAGCCAATCAACCAACCAACCAACAATCCAACTATCCAAAAAAACAACCAATCCCCCAACCTACTAACCAACCAACAAACAAACAAAGAAACAAGCAAGCAAACAAACAAACAATAACTAATAAACAAAAAATCAGCCTGTGACTTGCTCTATTCCCAGGAACAAATTCAGTTCCTAGAATACAACACGACTGAATCCCTTCAGAAAGCCGTGCTTGCAGCTTACAAAAATAGTGGAGGAACAAATACAAACAGGGCCCTGGACAATCTGAGGACTTCAATTTTTAAAAAGGTACGGCTGCTCATAATACTTTACATGCTTACAAAAAAAAACAACAGATATACATAACTGCATACCAGACTTGCAGACTACACACAGTTATAAAGCTGAACAGTTTATCGTATCTATAAACACATAATAATACTCATATTCATACACACAAACACACATGTACTTAATGACAAACAAGCATCTTTATACTATTATCTATCTCTCTTTATAGATAGATAGATAGATAGATAGATAGATAGATAGATAGATAGATAGATAGATAGATGTTGTTGTTGTTGTTGTTGTTATCGATCCAGCAACAGCTGGGCTCTCGCCCTTCTGTCCAATGCCATGTAGTGATAAGTGCAGGTCTGCTGCAGTTGCTGTAATGTTCCATAGAGTGTGTTGTCAATGTTAGGTCTCGGAGGGAGAAGGGTAGCTCTGATGTCATTTAGGGCTGTACAGTGGAACAGGTGATGATCCACAGTCTCATATGCATAGTCGCACAAGGGACACATTGGGGGAAGTTCCGGGTTTATTCTGTTCAAGTGGAAGTTGAGCTGTATATGTTCTGTTCGTAGGCGGAAGATCGTGGTCTGTTTCTTTCTCTGAAGGCGGTTGATATTGTCATTCCTTTTTGTTGTGGTCATATGTTTGAAATCTGCTCTGCCTGTCTTTCCCAGGGCCCATCTGTTCATCCAATCTTGTTTGTTGTTACTTTTGATGATTTGTTTTGCAGTGTTGTATGAAGTTGGAATATTGGGTTGTTCCTGTCTAGATCCCCGTTTGGCGAGTGTGTCTGCTCTGTCATTTCCAGGTATGTCTGAGTGTCCGGGGACCCACTGCATTACTAGGTTGATGCCACAGAATGTTATCAGATGATGGGATCCAAACAGTATATGGGTCAAATCTTGGTTTAGGTGATGGTCATTTTCTATGGCTTGTAATACTGATAGTGAGTCAGAGGAAATCACAATACTCTGTGCTTTTCCAGGATGAGTGTCAAAAACTGTGCGGAGATGGTACAGTGCTGTTTCAATTGCCATCATTTCTGCATCGTAGTTGCTGCATTTCTCTCCCCAGGCTGCAGAGATCTCATTGGAACTTCCATCTGGGTACTGTATTAGTATTCCATATCCGGCTTTGGTTGTGCCTTTGAATGCTGAGCCGTCCGTATAGACGTGTATCCAGTCATCTGAATAGCTGTCGATTGTTTGATGTGATGCAAGCATCAGCGTCACTGGGTCTGACGATTTTGTGCTCTTGTCTTTGAGAGATGTTGTAATGATTGGCTTTTTTAAAGAAAGGTGGGGAGTGATGTTTTGGTTGACTCTTTTGGTTTCTTTTCTATTTTGTGGTAGATGGTGGCTCTCCATTAGTTCTGTGATGTGATGCATGATTGACTTTTGTTGAATTCGTTTCTTTGGTTTCCATGTTTCTACTAATCTCCTGTTTGGGTGGTTGGGGCACATTCTTTTAGTTCTTTCTTGTAGCTCTAAAACTGCTTTATCTCTGCGGATTCCCAGGGGTTCAACATTTGCAAGGATTTCGCACGCGGCGGTAGGTGTGGATCTCATGCCGCCATTTATAAAACGAAGGGCATTGTTTTGGTCCTTGTCAAGGGTGTTGCAAGTAGTTGTACTGCACATAGTGAGTAGGCTATTGCTGTATTCCAGGGAAGATCGGACATAACCCAAGTATAGAGCTCTCAAAGTTTGTTTGTCTGACCCCCATGAACTGCTTGCGAGTTTCTTTAAAAGTTGGAGTCTTTTTTTTGCCTTGTTCCTTATGTTCTCCACTTGGCTTTTCATGGTTAGCTTATGGTCAAGTTGTGACTCTTAGGTAAGTTGGATGTTCTTCTTTGGGGAGACTTTCATTTCCTATCTTTAGTTTGAGATTTCCTTTGGCTGCTTTATGGCTCTTCGTGAAGATGGTGTATACTGTTTTCGTGCAGTTTATTTTAAGTTTCCATTTCTGACAGTAATTATAGAGCCTCTTGAGGTCTTCATTTAATTTCCCTGCTCCTACTATCGTGCTGTGATGTGTCTGCCAGAGAGCAAGATCATCGACATAAAGAGTAGAGATAGATAGATAGATAGATAGATAGATAGATAGATAGATAGATAGATAGATAGATAGATAGATAGATAGATAGATAGATAGATAGAGAGAGAGAGAGAGAGAGAGAGAGAGAGAGAGAGAAATAGAGAGGGAGAGAAAGATAAAGAGAGACAGACAGACAGACAGACAGACAGACAGACAGACAGACAGACAGACAGACAGACAGCTGTAGATTAACATACGTGCAGAAGCTTTTAATAAGTTTTGCTTACCCTCTCAATGGCGTTAGGCTATTAAAGAGGAAGAGAGTCCAGTCATTCTGTCCCCCCTCCGATACATCATCATCATCCAGTGCCAGATCTGGGACAGACATCGGCGATCATGGTTTTCCATTCATTCCTTTGCTCGGATGCTCTCAAAAAAGCTACGTTTCCCTGATCTTTCCCTGTTACCCATTTGTTTAGGTTCCCTAAGTATGTTGTTCTGGGCCTACCCCTGCCTCGCTTGCCCTCAATTTTGCCAGTGAGAGTTCAAGACCCTTATGTCTATTCAGGAGTTCCAAAAACTGCATTTGTCGTTTCCTGAATCTTTTTAACATTGAGCGTCCCACGTGGGCTTCATCAAGCACTGCCTCATTTGATCTCTTTTCCTTCCACGATACTCTTAGCAGTCTCCTAAGAAACCACATTTCTGTTGCTTCTATTTTATTTTCACTGTCTTTAGTGATTGTCCAGCATTCAAGATATATAGAAGGGTTGACCAAACATAGCATTTCAGGACTTTCATTTTGGTGTTCATTGAGATGTTTTATTTTTTTAGGATTGGGCTCATTTTTTAAAACTAGCCTTAGCCATTGTAGTTCTCCTTTTTATTTCTGTGGACCATTTGGCAGCAGATGTTATCATATATCCTAGATATTTAAACTGTTGGACTTATTTGATCTTTCCACCTTTGCTGATGAGATTACAACTAGGATGTGTTCCTTTTTTTAATATTACCATGCATTTTGTTTTCTTTATATTCTACAATAATCCTTTACGTTCACGTTCTGTTACAACAGTATCTAGAAGCAATTGAAGGTCTCTTTCGGAGCCTGCTATTAAAACTGTGTCATCTGCATACCTGATCTTCTTAATATTTTCTCCATTTACTTTGAGGCCTGGACATTCTTCTATGTTTCTAAAGATTGTTTCACTGTACATGTTAAAGAGGTCTGGTGATATAACACATCCTTGCCTCACTCCTCGCCTAATCTGATTATATTCATCGTATTCTCCATTAATTCGTACTGCAGCGTTTTGGTCCCAGTACAAATGTCTGATAAAATTCTTAAATCTTTTCCATCTATGTCTAGCTTTTCCAGTATTTTAAATAGCTCATCATGTCTAACTTTATCGAACGCCTTTGAATACTCTATGAAGCAGAAATACAGATATTTCTGTGTTTCAATACATCTTTCCATTAACATTGTTAAGGTGAATATAGCATCTCTGGTGCCCTTGTCAGGAACAAAGCGCCTAATTGCGTTTTAGATATCTCTGGTCTTACACTTTTTCTCAATCTTCCCATTAATACTCGCAGCAATATTTTTGTAAAATGACTCATAAGGCTAATTGTTCTATGCATATCTTACTCAGTGGCACCTGGTGTATTAGGCAAAGCTATAAAAAAAATTACCTCCGATACAACGGATCCAACAAGATTGGGGTGCTCCCACACAGCCTAAGGCAATGTTCACACATACAGGAGTAACGAAGCCGAGTAAGACAAAATTTTAAAGTCCAGCAGGTCGGGGCTCCTGTGGATACATTTCGCCGAGCAATCGGCTTCCCTCCTCGAGTAATATTTCATGATCGCCGTGTGAAATTATTACACAGAAAGCTTGCTGAAATTTTCAAACATGCTTAAAATTTTTGCAGAGCGAAAATGAGTCGCCGACAATAACTCGCTCGGGGAAAACTCGTGTGCGAAGTTGCATACGTTGCCGAGTGACAGCGACACACCGACGACAACTGAATGGGAGCCGAGTTAAATTTCATACTATGTGGGTTGAATTATTGCTCGCTGTGTAAAAAAAACTTGCACGGGAAGTCTGAGTTACTCAAGCACGGCGTGCAAAAGTTGACACGACGAGCATATAACTATTTCCTGTTGCCAGGTATCAAAGAGTGACAAACAGCTTGATGTCATGTTCCAGTGACTGCCTCTAGAAAGTACTTGCCTTGTGGATGTTGGGGCCAATTTTCTCCTGTAGTTCTTGGAAAAACTCTGTAGAAGCTCTGAGGAGGTTCCTGAAAATGCCACATCTTCAACTTGCAGTTCAGCCATCAGATTCTCAAACTGTCCTAAGTTCTTATGAGCCATGGTGTGATCCAACAGGTCGTCCTCCTCTTACACCTCCTCTTTCTCCTCTTCCTCCTCTTCCTCCTCTTCCTCCTCTTCCTCCTCTTCTCCTCTTCTTGCACCAGCACATCAGCAAGGGCACCACTATTATGTATACATGAAGTATACATCCATCGTCTGCGTCATATGAGACATGTTGAAGGAATGAACCCAAACATTTTGCCCCCCTCTTAATATATTATTACATTGCACGCCGACTAACTCACCGACGGGTCGGCAAGATGGTCAGCATGGTCGGCGAGTTTGTTGGCGTATGAAATTTTACACGGCCGCTACGTTTCTTGGGCTCTGCAAGCGGTGAGGATTCAAACTAATTGCTCGACAAGACGCTCCGCGATATGCTCGCTGTCCTAAATTATTGCTCGGCTTGCGTCTCCCCGAGTGCTCACCAACACAACAATGTCAACAGTCAGGGCCAGATGCTCGTCACGATTAAACCCGAATTTGGGATTATCTTATCGGGAATTGTTCGTCGACTCTACTCCTGTATCTGTGAACACCGCAAAAGTTTGGCAACATCCATTTGGTGGAATAGAACCAGGATAACCTAATCTTTAGTCCAGAATGATACTAACTGGACTAACAGTGCTCTCTGACACACTGAAAGCTAAAAAAAATATGAAATCTGTGATCAATGTTTGCTGTGTAATAGTTACCATCATTTTCTTAAACCCAAAGGACGTGAGTTCAAGTCCTCCGTACCTCCTTCTATCTGCTGGGCAATTGGATCCTCATCATCCCGGAAAGGTCTGAGGAAACTAGGACAAACAGTGTGTCTCCTAAATCATTATCCAGATAGTGGGGATGGGGCAGTGAAAGACTAACAATAGACTACAAGAAAGCGAACTCGTAAACCCCCTTCACTGTGAAGATGTCTCCCTTCACGTTTGTACAAAAGATGTTAATTAAAGCAAAACGAAAATACAGCTCTCTGTATGAGCAACAAATCAGGTTGTAATTATATCTCATAAAGTGTGTCAATAGAAATAAATGGCTGTGGACTGTGAACCAATTTTGGAGAACATGAACAAATGTGAGGCAGTGTGGTGGAATCAGGCACTCGTCAATTTTTGGGCATGTGGAGTTATTGATGTCATCTTTAAGCCTGTTCATTTGTTTATCTTTCGGTGAAAAAAATGCCCATCTATCGTTTATAGAAGTCGAAATATTTTTGATTGAAGTAGGTAGGGTAACCTGATTTTAGAGGAAAAATAAGGGAGAAAATGACTGCCAAATCTTGGAATCTTTCAATGTGTTAGAGCCCTTGAAAACTGAAAATTTACATTTTTTGTACCTTTAATCAACATTTTTCGGAATAATCCACACAGAAATGAGTTTTTAAATGGACATAAAAGCTGTTGAGCTTAAAAACAAAAAGTTGATAAAAATTGCCAAACGGGCAGAAAAATGCCAATAGCTAAGATTTAATTATTTTGACGAGAGCCTGATTCCACCACGCTGCCTCACAAATTGATGTGTCTACTCAGCAGTGAAGAGGTAAGCGCTACTCCATTATTTCCACAGAACAACTCCCGAAAAGAGGCAGCCAAGATCGCTATTGTACAGACAGATGGAAACTCTGGTAGCCGGTCGGCCACTATAGCGGCTGCAGACTTGTTGAAGGACGAGGGGGTCACCGTCTTTGCGATCGGTTTGTGGTTTGATGTGGTGTCTTGGGTGGCGAACATGGTGAAATGGTATAGGTTTAACGCCCCTGTCAACACTATTCGGTTATTTAAGAGGCGGGACCCCCTAGTGTAATGTCCATCTCCGAAAGATCCGAGTGAAATGGGAAATAAGTGTGAAGTGTCTTTCCAAGGCACACAACGTTCGGCCAAGTAGAGGCTCGAACCACCCCACCCCCCTCCTCCCACAACCCACATTCGCACGATTACGAGTCCGGTAACGTAATCACTTGGCTATCAAGGTCACGTCCTTGGTGGGGTGTATGTATGTATGTATGTATGTATGTATGTATGTATGTATGTATGTATGTATGTATGTATGTATGTATGTATGTATGTATGTATATATGTACGTATGTATGTATGTATGTACGTATGTACGTATGTATGTATGTACGTATGTATGTACGTATGTACGTATGTATGTATGTAATTATGTTTGTAGGTATGTATGTATGTGTGTATGTATGTATGTATGTATGTATGTATGTATGCATGTTGTATGTATGTATGTATGTACCATATGTATGTATACATGTATGTATATTATGTATGTATGTATGTATGTATGTATGTATGTATGTATGTATGTATGTATGTATGAATGTATGTATGTATGTATTTTTTGTGTGTATGTATGTATGTATGTAGGTTTTTTTGTTTTTTTTGTAAAGTGTTTTACGGCGCTGGCAACTGCATAAGGTCATGTGAGCGCGCGGGACACAGCTAATATTTTCAGTTGGTAGGAAATTTTGAATTTTGCCCGGGTGCCGGCCGAAGCCTACTCTTATCGATTTTAGACCACCAAGGGATCTTTAACGTGCGCAACTTGCACACGGGCCCACCGAAATTTTTCGCCCTTGTCCGAGAAGGCTGGTGTAGATCTTTCCTACCAGAAGATCAGGGGTGTGGCAGTAAGACAGCAGTAAGGAGGAGCCAAGGAGTACCAGAAGAAAGGCTGCAAAAAGAGTTAGGAGCCCAGAGGAGGGGGCAAATTAGGTGAGGGGATGGGGATGAAAGTGGAAATGAAAGCAGACAACAGAACATTGCTAGAGAGCAGGAAAGGAGGTGAAAGGAGACAATTTTAGAGAAGAAAATGTTTCGGTCGCTACCCGGATTCGAACCCCGGGACCTTTGAATGAGAGGCCAACACCTTAACCTCTAGACCACGAGAGCCCCCGTATGTATGTATGTATATATGTATGTATGTATGCATGTATGTATGTATGTATGTATGTATGTATGTGCACATATTATCAGAGCATAAAACATTTGCAAATACATTTGTTGCAGTGTGGAAAGAGTACTGTGTTTAATGTGCCTGCATATCTCCAGGTGTTGGGAATGGGATTGACAGAGTTGAACTTGAAGGTATCGCCACTGAGCCAAACTGCACTCACGTCAGAATGATAGCAGACTTCTCCGAACTGAATTCTATCGCCTCGGACATCAAAGAAGCAGCCTGTAAAGGTAACTGTACTTAGACTTCGAGGGTTTTCTCCCTTCTTTTTTTAGTTGTTTCCGTTTTTCTGACCTCTGTTTGGGTCATTACTCTCTATGTAGTGCACCCGCATCTCCTTTCCTTTCAAATCTTTCTCCCTTCTCTCTCTCTCTCTCTCTCTCTCTCTCTCTCTCTCTCTCTCTCCCTTACCATCTCTCCGAATCTACTGGCTGTTGAGAGGCCAAGGTGTATTTTTGGAGGGGCTCTTCTGAACATTTTACGTCATTGGATATTATACTGTCTTTGACAATAAATCCCCATATTTTGTCACAACTCGGTGGAATCAGTCTCTTGTCAATTATCAGGCGTGTTAAGTTATTGCAAAAACATCCATTTATCTTGAATACAAGTAGAGATATTTGAGAATGAAGGAGATGAGGGGGTCACCTAGTTTCAGAGGTAAAATTAGTGAGAAAATGACTGCCAAAGATTAGTTATTTCCTTAGCCCAAGAGTCCGTGGAAACTGAAAAATGTACATTTTTTGTGCTTTTAAACAACGTTTTTGAATTTAATAAAAACCACATAGAAATAAATTCTTGAATGGGCATGAAAGGTGTTGAGTCAAAATTCAATAAAAAAATCTACAAACCTGCGTTAAAATAATAGTTTCTTCATTTTATTCTGACGACCGCATGATTTCACTACGCTGCCTCCAATATTATTGTTCATTAGAGGAGGTTTCATTAATTTAATACTCGAATACACTTTGGGGATTACCTTTTGCGTCTATCTATCTATCTATCTATCTATCTATCGATCTATCTATCTATCTATCTATCTATCTATCTATCTATCTATCTAT